GCTCCTGATAGCCATGACCTGGCGTAAACCCTTCCCTTTGAGTATGGCCAGGACCGTGGCCTCTGACTAGTGGAGTGTGGCAGAGGGGGCAGCCCGTGCACGGGCACGTGGGAAGGACTGCACAGGACTATCACACCCATGTCGCCAGGACCCTCAAATTCTTTTCCTTGCTGAAGAAGCAAGATGCTGTGTTGTGAACAGCCATCTGAAGAAAGCCAGTGCCACAGGCGAGGTAGCCTGCAGAAAACCAGCAGGGAACCGAGGCCGCGATTCCGACAGCACAAGGAATTGAATGCTGCCAGCAACCACAGGCCATCATTTCCCGTTCGACCCTCAGATAAGACTGCAGCCCCGGGTGGCCCCTGGATCGAAGCCCCGGGAGACCCTGGAGCAGAAGATCCTGCGGACTTGTCCCTGGACTCCCGGCCCACTGGACTGCGAGATAACGCGAGCGTCTTGTTAAAAGCACGAAGCTTGTGCTAATATTGTTGTGCGGTAGGACATAACTTATGCATAAATATAGGAGAAATCTTTAGTTTCTCTTCTCCCACATCAAATTACCTGCATCCCTCCTCCTCTTACACACTTGCTCCATTTACCAACTGTCTAGACAGTGACTTAACTTCCCTAGGTCTTCTTTCTTTTCCATCTTGAGACAGTTCTCGTCTCCCTACACCTGAAGAAAAACGAATGTACAATCTCTGGAGGAACTCCTAATTGTTTTATTAAAGATTTTGATGCTGCTTTAAAAAATAGCATAGCACAATTTATTTAGTAAAAGTATTATAAGGAATTTTATAAGGAAGAAAATAAAATAGAAAACAAACAAAAAATAAAATAAAACAGAAACCACATTATATTTATTACCTGTCAAGCTCTGTTCTACATACATACATGTTATCTCATTTTACATTATTAGAAATCTTTTGTTTTCATGAAAAAATTAAAACAGGGAGGTTAAATATCTTTCTTAAGTCCGCACATTTCTGAAGTGCAAACTGGAATCTGATTCTAAGCAATTGAGTTTCAGAATCTGTACTTTTAATTACTCTGTTATCCCATCTCTTAAAGGCTATTAATAGGAGAAGACAGCTATTAGAGTGGGTATGATTGGACATAAAGCTGAGTCTGTTTCTTGGTGATACTTGCAAAAGCTGAAATTCGTAAGCCATTTAATTTTCATTGTGTAAGAATACATTTATGAAATGGGCAATGAATCAGCCTCCATATAATAAAAAGAGATTCAAAGAGCTGTTTTGAAGTCACCTTTGGCTTCCCAGTTGGGCATATGACCCAAATTACCTCTGCGTCAGGAGACTCATTTCAGTGCCAGTTTTTATTAATCTGAACTTTATTTAAGAAGGCAGCATTATTTTTCATTGTGATTATTCTTCTTCTAGCTTCTAGTTCAGCAAAATGAACAACTGATGTCTTTCAAATAAATCACCTTTGGCCTCCTATTGCTATTTCTCCATCTCTACTTTTTCTTCCTTAATTGTTAAAGTTTTGTATAGTGTAATGGTTAATTTTATGTTGGCTTGGCTGGGCTATGGTGCCCAGACGTGTGGTCAAACATTATTCTGGATGTTTTTATGAGAGTGTTTTTGGATGAGATTAATATTTCAATCTATGGACTTTGAGTAAAGCAGATCACCTTCCCTAATGCGGGTGGGCCTTATCCAATCAATTGAAAGCCTAAATAGAACAAAAGAAGACCTACCTCCTCCTAGCTAGGGAGAATTCTTCCAGCAGACAGTCTTTGGACGTCAACTACAGATTAGTTCTTCCTGAGTCTCTGGCTTGCCCACCCACCCTGAAGATTTTAGATTTGCCAGTCTCCATAATCATGTGAGCCAATTCCTTAAATAAATATATATACATGTCCTAAGGGTTCTGTTTTTCTGGAGAACCCTGATTAATATAGTTGCTGTTTGCTTCAGGGGAGGTTGGTGCTTCTTTCAGCCATAGGAGGTGAAAATGAAGTGTTAGAGGAATTATACTAAAGACATTTTGGGAAATGTTTCCTCAGTAATAAGAGGAGATACAGAAGAGGAGACCTTCTTTTTTATCACTCTGAACTTTATTGGCTGGTGAGGCACCAGGAGTGAACCTGGTCAACTTGGGATGAGAGGAGAAAGTGGCCAAAAGAAACCAAGGCGGTGTGGTCAGAGTGGCAAAGCAGGAAGCTGAGAGATTCTAGTTGCTTAGATATCATGAGCTGCGGAATTAGCCAACCTAAGAACCCTGAGTTCAGAACTTCTTGACATGCAAGATAATAAATATATTCTTTCATCAATTCTAGTTGGGTATTAATTTTATTTGCTACTGAAAATATACTGATGGATATTGTTAACCAAATTATGTGTCTCTAGGGAGTTGAACAAATGGACCTGGTACGTTTAATGATTAGATATTGATTATCAAATCAGGTTACAACCTCCTAAGACTACAGGGTCCAGGCAGTTAAAACACTTGAGTGAACAATAGGGAGTGACTGGGACTGTGCTGTACTTAAAGAAGGTATAATCTACCTAAAGGGGCAATTACTTAGCTCCTATGAATTGCAACCATTGAAAAATGCAATCTTGGTGCTGTCAAGTTTTTTTAACTTTAAGAGAATCTGAAAATCTGAGTTTTTCTTTGAATTTTTCCAAATTTCTAATGTTTATAATTCAATTTATAAAAATAAACCATTAATGGGTCCAACAATGAAGGTTGAAGCCAGAGTTCACCTATAAGCTTCTAGTTTGCAGATTCTGACATGAGAAGTGGTGAATTTCTGCCAAATATAATGATTTCTTGTTTCATTTTTTTGTTATTGTGACTAATGTTTTACCTCTACTTCCTTGTACCATATAGGTAGCAGGACTAATGAACTCTTAAGGCCATTCTTGGATAGTGATAATAAGGCCACATTACCTGATACAGGAGAATGCTTATTTTCCTGTTTTAATTTAAAGCCTTATAAAGCAATTATGACATAAAGTTTAAAAGCAGAAGGAATTAGGAACACATTTTTTACTGTCACTTAAACTTATACCTACTTCTCAAGATACCATTTTCTCTACAGAAATTTTGTATGATTTCTTATTTTCATTTTGTTTTGAAACTTGCTCCCTGAATTAGTAACAGTCTATCGAGATTCTCAGTTCCAATCAGAAGAATACGCAAGAATTTTTAGTCAGGCTCCATCACCATTTATTTGACACTGGGAAAATTATTTAAGTTTTGAAAGCTATGTTTTTCTATCAGTAAAATATGGAAGTTGAGAATGAAAACCAGGAACATTCCTTTCAACTTTAAGATATAATGATTCTTGGTTTCTGGCAACAGCACATAAGTTACATTTTGGGAAGAACTGATGATATTGTCCTTGTAAAATTATTCTTGAGATCTAGAATATTGTCTTTTAAATAACTTGCAGTGGGTCAGTCTGTGATTTCACCTAAACCCTTAAACTTTTCAGAGTCCCAATTTGAATAACATTTGGGGGGTAGTGAGTTATGTGTGTTCTGTAATCAACAAGTATGTTCTTTTATTTGTTCCCAAATATTGATTTTTAAAATGAACCCAAACCAGCAAAATATTTACATAAATTGCCCTCATAGGTGGGATGGTCACACCCATTCATAATTTCTTTGCTTAATTAAAAAACCACATTAAACCTATACAAGTATAATGAAATGGATGTAGTGATACTGTTGTTTTTCACTGCAGTGCTAATAAGAAAATAACAGTACCCTGGCTGGGGGGAAAGAAAAAAAGTTGCTGCTTTGATTCCTGGTCAGGACACATCCCTAGGTTGGGGGCTGGGCTTGATCCCCAGTTGGGGTGCATATGGAGGCAACTGATTAATGTTTCTCTCTCACATTGATGTTTCTCTCTCTCTCCCTCTCTCTCTCTCGCCCCCCTTCCTGTCTTTCTAAAAATCAATAAGCATATCCTTGGGTGATGATTAAAAAACAAAAATAGCAGCAGCAATATCATGCCTGCATGGTATCATTTATCAAAAGATGACACGAACTTCCTCAAGGCAACGGGTCCTCCAAGCACACTCCAAAGGCTTTCGGAATTTCCTTTTTTGTTTGTTTGTGTCTCTCTTCAGGCTACTGGCTAATTATGCCAAATTCTACATGTCAATCTTTTGAGTGAATTGAACACATATATGTTAAATAGAAGTTTCTTATTGACTGTGTGCACAGAATTCAGTGTCAACTATGATCTAACTCCTTAGGAAAGGAGAATGAAATGAAAATGCTTCCAACACTGAGCCTAGCTCGGGGTTCACGATGAACTGAAGTAACTGAGTCTGGCCCGGCCGGGCGTGGCTCAGCGGTTGAGCGTCAACCTAGGATCCAGGCGATCGGGGTTCGATTCCCGGTCAGGGCACATGCCCGGGTTGTGGGCTCCATCAATGACTCTCTCATCATTGATGTTTCTCTCTCTCTCTCTCCCTCTCCTCTCCTCTCTCTGAAATCAATAAAGATATATTTAAAAAAAAAAAAAGAAAAAAGAAATGAGTCTTCATCAGACATGGGGTTGTCATCTCCCTGCTTGAGACGAGGTCTTATGATGCGACTTGACGCCCGTAACTGTGCAGTCTTTGTGTTTAATGACCATTCTTGTAAAATAGAATTTTAAAGGAAGCGCTGCCCTAAATTGGTTTATTTTGAGGTGGAAATATTTAGAAATTTCACCCTCTTCTGGACTTATTTTTTGCTGTATACAGGATTAGGAGCTTTTTCGAGGCCCGGGAAGCAGTGAGGGTGGATGTTTTTGTGTTTATTAAGTCTAAGTTAGAAGCGCCGCATGTGATTCCTCAGCTGGCCATTCTAAACTAGAGCATTTATATTTGTTAAAAATTGATTTTTACCATGGCTGAAACGTTGATTTATTTTTGTTTGTCTTCAACCATTCTTATGAAAAGGAATAAATAGGAAGTGTTTTTGTGAAATTCATACAGTGCATCTACTTTATTTTTTTGGCAGCTGTGATTTCTCAGTTTACTTCAGTATGGCCTAGTGATCCCATCTGACCATGATCTGAGGTCCTTAAATCTCCTCCACTTGAGGTAGAAGGTATGTCAGAACTCATTAAGAGGTTATCTGCACAGTATATTGATTTTTATAAATTGCTCCTTAAATTATAGTGGGCAGTATGACACACATAAACGTCACTGAGATCAGGAAATATTTGGATAAAATTAATACATTTCACTACTAGTTATTGTCACAGCTACCCTCTCATACTGTACCGTGAGTAATTGCCCTTTGGTGTACTATTTAAAATAGAAACTTTTATCTTCATTCTCACTGAAAGAACATGCTGAGTAAATTGTGCTCACTGTCACGTTACAGATGTCAAGCTTGGTGCCTAAAGCAGCTGTGTAAGGGGCAGGTTTTTACCCTGTCCTTGCCAGGTCAGCCCCATCTGTCCCACCCATTGCTGAAGAACCTGACCTTGACTCGACTGGCTGAGAAATAAGGAGGTAATTAGCGGGTAAGAAGGGAGGCGGGGGCTGAGGGATTGCGTGAGATAGAACTAGAAGCCCGAACAGTGATTACAAGCCAGCGCTCTGAGGAGGCAAAACTGGGCAAGCAGAAGTGCAGAGAGGAGGAAAGGCCGCAGATCTGCCTCCAGTCGCATGAGTAACGTTAGGAAAGCATGTACTCACCAAGTAACAGAGTTAACACTAACGCAAAGGTTACACTATGTTATAAGGTTTTTATCCTTTTGGGCACCAGATAGCCCTTGGTTTCTGTAGTCGTGTCCTTAGGGTCCGCTTCGTATTATATAAGATAACTCAAGTTTGTCTCTGTTTCTTGACTTACCATGAGAATTATTCCTTTTTTTCTTTTAGCAGCAGAACCGATTCTTTAAGTGAAATATGTTTTAGCTCCCTAATATTTTAAAGCAAATGAAGCCCCGCACACCTGAAGTGATGGTGGGAAGTTAAAGTGCCTCTCACTCTCTTCCCTTCCTTCCCTCCTTTCCCCATTGTCACCCGCTGAGACAATTCTCTAGACTCAATTCCTTTTCCTATAGTTTAAAATCTACTGATGTGAAGGAAAGATACAGGTAAACCCACAAACAATCGACGAGAGAAGCAGGGGACCCAGACACAGGGTATTTATTTCTCTTAGTGGATTTGGATCATTATTTTATTGTCACTTCTTTCAAGATTCCCTGGCTATGGACCTCTTCTTCCCTACGCTCATTCCTCCCATGATCTCACAAACTGTCATGAAATTGTGTTCAACTTCGCACTCGGTATCTCCAGTCTGAAATGTCACGTATGAATGTGTGCAGCTTGACGTCTCCCCTCCAAACCACTTCCCTGCACTCTGGCTCCTCTGTGCAGTTGCCCACCAGCCCGCCCGAGCTAGCAGGCTCCTCCTGAAGTGGTAGGAAGAATGAAGTCATTGTGCGAAGCAGTTGCGCAGTTATACCGACCCTCAGAGAAACTGTCCTAGGAGCCGGCATCGTAAATATGTAGGATCTGGTAAAGCAAAGCATCTGCAGACTTTACATTAAATTAGTATTCATTTAAGTTTATTGCTTTGATAGCTTTCATTATATTCAATTCACATGTTTTTAATTTTATATTTATGTAAGGAGTTTATATCTGGATTTATATTTTAAATATTTAAATGACCATAAACACAGTTGAAATTATTCTGGATAATGTAAAACACTTTCTTTTCCTCTAAAATAAAAAGTGTCCACGAGAACCACTTGACTGAGGCCATTATTACGTGCTGTTAACATTATGTTTTTCACAGAGTGGTCTTTTCTCTGCAAACATCTTAATAGCAAAACTTTTTTTTTTTTTTTTTTTAATTTAGACACTTTTAGAATGGGAGCTGTATGTTTTTGCTGTAAAAAGCAAGATAAATTGATGAGGCCTTTTTGATGTTTCAGAGCAGAAAACACTGTTTCAAACCAAGTAAAGGGTACAAAGATATTCCCTACATCTGCATTTATTTTTTTACTCTTACTAGGTCTTTGAAGGTAAAGGTTATGATTAGAATGTTTGTTGGGAGTCATTTAATTATGCTAATATAAAGCTAAAAGGTTAATTTTTGAGGTTACATTAAGTATCCCAACTTCAATATATGTTGATTTGCTGAAAATATTTGGTCTACTTGCAGCCGCATTTTCTTTTAGGGGTGCCTGTATTTGTGGATACTAAGAGACATATTAGTTTACTTTTGTTTTCACCCCCTCCTCTTCAATAATTGTGTTAAAGCAAAAATATGGAGATTATGTGTAATTGGAGGAAGCTAAAATTGAAGTAGAGAGGGACCAAGAAAATTAGAAAAAATTACAAAATAAAATAGAATTTCATTGATAGTGATGATAAAAAATAAAACTTCCATTATCACTAGAAATATCAGTAAATAATCTCCAGAATTAAACTTAGAAGTGTTTCTGCTGTTGTATTTTATGTAATGGTGGAGAGGTTGTTTATGGACAAATAATATTTCTTAAGCAGCAACTGTGTAGAAGAGACTATGAACAGTGGTTTATACATAATTTTACCTTCACAAAAGTCTTCAAGGTTTGTGTTATTATCCTCGTGCAGAATATGGAACAGAGGTGCCAGGTAGTTAAGCAACGTCCCTGTGTCAGCAATGGGTGAACTTAGGTTTCAAACTCAGATCCTTCTGGCTTCCAAATTCACAAACTAGCTGTTATATTTCTTTAATAAAATGAGAAAGATGACCATGGAATACCATGCATTTAGTAAAGCATAAGGCTTGTGTCCTTGTAAACTAGTTTTAAAGGTAATTGCTATACTAATGCCTATTAATATTTGGAGAACTGTATACATTTTACACCTTCCAAGATAGCTAATTTAAAGAGAGCAACACACTTTTATATTTGTAATAGTTGGAGCATCACAAATAAAACAAATAGTTAAATTATTTTTTGTTTCACTCTTTAGAGTATATACTAAAAAAGTTATAGAGATTGAAATATCTGTCATCTTGAGAAAGCTACCTTTCAGGATTCTTAATTATATACATAATGTGCTTACAATATGTGAACCAATATACTAGTTGCTTGCTATTTCTAACATCAATATTAATCTTACTACTAGTTTCCGAACTTGGAGGCTTCATTGGACCAGTGAATACTTTTGAGGGGTACTGTACTCCTTCCTTTATTTCTCCAGGCTAAAGCATTTGGTCAAATTAGGTTATGGATTTCAGTACCAAACCGCAACTGCAAATTCATTTTTGGAAACCCTGTGCGCTTTGCAGTTATCAAGAAAAAGATGATGGTGTGTGTTTCCTAAATGATTAAGTGGGAATCGAAGAGCACAATAGTTCCCTCCCCTGCTCCCTTACACACAGCACTTTACCTCTGGCTTCCTATAAACCTAGGGTCAAATTTAATACACATTTGTTGTAACTAATTCCTAATCTCATTGTTGAAAGCTTTTTATTTCTCTTCTAAAATCTATTTTTATTCTGTATTCATAGCCACATATTTTGGTAATATAATTTAGACTGTCTCCAATTCTTTTTAGGAAAAAAAGGCATGTTCTCTTTCCACTGAATAATATGACACTGTGTTCTGTCAAATAAAATAAAGGACCATTTAGTGTTGAATCTATGAGGGCAAGGCAAATTATGACTAGAGAAAAAATTTATTGAATGTATTAGCAAAATTTGTCATTGTCTGATCATACTCCTACGTAACAATACTACCTTTCAAAAAGCCGCCTGAAAGGGGCTGCCTTTGTAAACTTTCTTTGGAATATTACTTGCTAGTGGCTTGAAAAATGTGAAATGGCAAATTGCAAAATTTGTTTATGTTCATGTGTATGTTTAAAGTTGATCTTCACAACTAAGAGATAATGGCAGCTTTGGACTTAGTTATTCATTTCACACAGCAGTGGACAGGTGGTTATTGTACAACAGCAAACATTCTGGGGCGAGGTTTGCTGTAATAACACAAACCAATAGGTTTAAAACTCACAAATGCCTTTTAAAGGGCAGGCATTCAATTTTGACAAAAATGATCAACAGCAGGCTTGAGGGTAGAACATAAAAATTAAAAACCCTACAATTAGGCAGCTTATTTAAAAACACAGGATGAGAGACCCAGATGGTTCATATTAACAAAAGCAAGCAAACAAAAGACTAAAAACAGGAGTATAAATTAGCAATGCCAAGAGATGAATATGTACTTTGATAGATTGCCTCTAAAGTATATCTCTGTTCAACAATCAGCATTTATTGGGAATTGGAGGTAAAAGACAAGTCTTTGCTTTAAAGAAGCATACCACCTATTAAAGGTGATAGAACTTACTGCAGTTGTATAAATGTATATGCAAATGAAATTTCACCCTATAAAATTATTTGTACAGAAATATGAAACAAGTTTGGAAAAATATTTAAAAAAATGATTTCATGCATGGATAGATACAGATGCAAATTGCTATGCTTCTGTGTTCCAAGAGCTTTACTTCTCTCAACCCATTCTTCTGCCAAATTATGTAAAACTAAAGTATGGAAAAGTGATACTTGTTTCCAGGAGTAATCATTGCATTTAAATGGGACTTATAGTTAGATAGCATTTATGAGCCATCTACTGTGTCTGCATGATACTTCATTAAAATCTATGTGGGAGAGAGAAGATGGTGGTGTGGATGGGGGGATGTGCATAAGATATTGAGAATGTTTTTTTTCCTTATGAGTGTAATGGTTTGTGAGAGTGTATATTTGTGTTCTATAAATTACTCTTTTTTAAAAAAATGTACCTTTATTGTTGAAAGTATTACAGATGTCCCCTTCCCCCCTATTGACCCCCTCTACCCTGCAACCCCTCCAGGCCCCCGCACTATTGTCTGTGTCTGTGGGTTATGTATATAGGCATATAAGTTCTTTGGTTAACCTCTTCCTGTCCCTCCACCCCTGAGATTCCTAGAAGATTCCATGTCTCTGGATCTATTTTGTTCATCAGTTAATTTTGTTCTTTAGATTCCACTTATAAGTGAGATCGTGTGATACTTATCTTTCTCTGACTGGTTTATTTCGCTTAGCATAATACTCTCCAGGTCCCTCCATGCTGTCTCAAAGGGTAAGAGATCCTTCTTTTTTACAGCTGCATAGTATTCCACTGTATAAATGTACCACATAGGGTTTGTACCTCCTTTCTCTTTTAAAAAATCTTCTTTTCTTATATTTTCCAGATACTTACACACTGAACCTAAAGTGATTTGAGTGGAGGAAGTATATAGTTGAATTGCTATGGGGCAACATTTTAGCTTTTATTTATTGATTGATTGACTGATTGATTTGAGAGAGAGAGAGAGAGAGTGTGTGTGTGAAATTGACTTGTTGTGTCACTTATTTATGCACTCATTGCTTGATTTTTGTATGTGCCCTGACTGGGGATTGAACTCAGGATGATGCTCTAATCAACTCACTGGCCAGAGCCTAGCTTTTCTTTTTTATTGGCTTCAATTCTTGACTCAGTTCTTAGTCACAGTGGATATACCTTTGTGACTGTTTCTGGCTGTGTGTGGGAAATGGAATTTGATTACTTTGCTTATCAAAAGGCTTAGAATCCTTGATTTTTTATTTCTTCTTATAATTTGAGGGCATGAGCAACAGGAGAGAAGAAAAGGTGTCCTCAAATGCCAACTAACACTGAACTTCGGTTTTGTGAATGCCCTAGGCATTTGCTTGCTGTCCTTCATACATTCTTTCAAAGACAGCATGTGAGGCCGTCAATAGGAAGCTAATCTATTTGATCTCTTAAATAAAGTGAATGGTTTCAAGGACACCTGATTATATGGAACACTATTCTATATCAAATTGCTTTTATTAAGTTATTTTATAGATTGAAAGTGAGTAGCACAGAAAGTTCAGTGACTTTCCAGCGCCACTCAGCAAGTCATTGTCAAGATAACAGACTTCTGAAACTGAATGTAGAGCCTAACAATCAGGTAATTGTGCATGTGCATTTTTTTGCCCAGGCCTCTTTTGGAATCTATTATATTTTCTTTGGTTGCTCGTTTCTTTCAGCTGGTCACACTTCAAAAGCACTCGCTCTCAGAAGCAGTAACACTCGGAGTGGCACCATCGGCAGCATCTGGCTCATCACTGACCTGGGGACCCTGATTCTGCAAAGCAGCCCATCCACACAAACGTGCCTGTGATTGACTCACCAAATGCCCTCACTCCATGAGGAGCGGTGTTCTTCTGATTGAATGACTTGGATGGGCCAGGGGTAGTAATGTGTACACAAAAACTTGTGTGCCATGTTTTTCTTTTTCAAAGGTACAAAAAAGAATAAAGAAATTTTTTTCATTTGCAAGATTTCTCTCTCTGCCTCTGAGCCC